GCTGCCCCCCCAAACCCCTGTTGTAGCCGACAGGACTTCACTGCTAATACTGTGTCGAGAACCTTCTGGCTCCCAGACATGATGGCTCCCTTGCTCCTTCTCCTCCTTCTAAAGAACTTTCTATAAGCAATTAATTAACCTCATCACATCCTTTCCGTGGGGCCCAGTGCAGGGAGGGAGGGAAGGAAGAGAAGCGCCTTGTCCCTTGAGGACAGTCAAGTGGACAAGCGGCTACCCAGGCTGCTGGGTGATTCTCTCTCCGAGCTGCCATTCCCTCCCCACTCTGGAGCTGGATGCTGTGTGAGCCCAGCTCCCGGAAGGAGTGGGGGTCACCCAGGCTGCTCTTGGCCCTGGCTTCGTCTCCAAACTGCCCGACAAGACCTTTGTCATTTGCTCCCTCCAGTTGCTCCCACCACCAGTTGCTTTTTCTCATTCCTCCTCAGGCAACTTCTGGGGTCAAAGATTAGGCACAAAGGACTTGGGGAGGAATGCAGATGAGTGGAGAAGAACACCACATTGGGCGGCACTGATGACCTTTCTCCTGGATGTTCTCCCCGCCCTACTGGTACAGCGAAGGACATGGAAATGCAGGTTCTGCATGCAAATATGCCCAGGCATCCTGGCCACTCCAAGGACAGCCTGTGGCCCCCGCAGAGTCCTTGCAGTCTGATCTCTTGTCACCCAAGGGGCGGGACCCCCAGTAAGCTCTGGATGCACATACTGTGGACAGCCGCAGAGAGATGGGGCCCAGGCTAGGGCCCAGAGGAAAGACAGAGTAGGAGAGACACAGTGTGGGACATTAATTGTGCACCTACTGACACCAGGTCCTGAACTAGACACACTGTGCAGGTTAGCTCATGTCATCCTCTGACTGCCCGGGGAAGTTCTTAAGGAAACTAAGGTTTAATAATGCAGGAACTTGGCCCAAGATCACACGGTGAATGAGTTGTGAAACCAGAACTCAACCAAGACTTTCATTATCTGAGCAGAACTTAAAAATGTAAATCACATAATGTCATCCCCTGCCTAAATGGCTCCCATGGTTTCCCAGTGCCTTCCACAGGAAAACTTTCTCCTTCCCTTGGCTAAGACCCTGCACCTCTGACCTCCCCTCCCCCTGCCCCCATCACTTCCCCTGAACCTGCTACAGGCCTCTTTCTGTTTCTCTAGCAGAGGTGCCCATTCTCCTCCCAAGACTCTTACACTTGCTGTCCCCCTCTTTGGCTCCTTCCATTCTTCAGGCCAAATGCCACCTCCCTGGAGAGGCTTTCCCTGACTTCCCCGGGCAACCGTGGCCTGCCTCCTTCCCTCTCTATCCCCTCATCGCAATTTCTATTCTTTACACCACTTAGTATCTGAAGTTATTTATGTGTTAACTTGTTCCTTGTGTGTTGTCCACTAGAACATAAGCTCCTTTGGAGTGTTCACCATTCTATCCCCAGGGTCCGGTGCTTAGTAAGTGCTCAGTAAATGTTTGATGGACAAATGACCTCAGAAAAGCTTTCCTGGGCCCCAGGGGGGTAGCTAGAGGAGTAAGGGGGCACACTGGGCAGAGAACTTGGCTGCTGGTTTGCACACAACATGGAGGACTGATCCCTGAGGCTCTCTCTCTCTGTCCATGAGATGACCTGGCCTGCCTTTCTGCATAGGAAGTATGTGTAGACACATTTTCTCAGACTTTGCGTGAAGCCAGGTGGAAGAGACAAGGCTGCCTGGCATCTCCGGATGCCAGAGCTGGGTACCCTTAAGCTCCCTGCATGCTCCCAGCCTTTCCTGATCTTGGCTGAGGTTCGTGACTGCTCAGGAGCCCACCCGGTCACGGTCACGCCAGGGGGTTGTGGCCGGCATTGCCTGGCCGGGAGGGAGAGACTGCTGCTCCAAGAACCTGATCTTTTACATTCGCTGACATTCTTGGGTTTGGCATTCACAACCTCAGGGTTTTATTCCGAAGAGGCCTTTTGCATTTGATGTAAATATTATGGTGATGAGAGGCGACATGGAGAATACCCTGTAGGAAATGTAATTCCGCCCTCACCAGGCTGGCAGCCTCTCCCTGCTGCCACTTTGGGTGGTTCTGGAAGGGATTGATTCCTCCTAGTTCTTGGGTTAACCCAGAAGGGCCCCCTCCACTCACGGGCGGCAGGGTCCGGCGGTAGCGCATTAGTTATTTTTCCAATTTGCAGAGGCACTTTCATCCATCAATGTGCGAAGCAATTGGGGCGAGTCTGGAGCGGGCTCGTGTTGCATCCATTCTCTGGGTGGGGGAACGGCCCATTCTGGGGGAGGCTTTAGAGAGGTGGGGTTGGGGGGTCCACGCCAGTAATGTCACTGAAGTTCCCAAAAGTCAGCTGCTCTCCTAATCACTTCGTCAATGAGTCTCAGTTACCACCCATCTCCCAGCAGGGTTTAGTCTTGGATCTGTGCTCCTCTCGACTCTCTGTAGCACTGGGCACCCACTCCAGCTGCAGTGGCCCTTGGTGCCATAGTCCTACTCTCTTCTCGAACTCCCAGGAAAGTGGTATTTATAATCCCCATGTACACTCCCTGGTGGGGAGCTAGGACTGGAGTGCTGTCCCCACTTGGCTTTCAAGATGGAAGAGAGAGATGGCACTTCTACACTGATGTCTCTTTGATAGGCTGTGTGACCAGGGACAAGTGATTGGATCTCTCTGAGCTTTGGTTTCCACACCCTTCAAATGAGGAAAAGTCTATCTATGACGTAGATCCGAAGAGAGAGTGCACGTAAGGGGCTCTGCCCAGTGCTTGCCATGAAGTGAGTGCTCAGGAAATGTGGGCAGTTCTCATTAGGTACAGAGGGTATTGTGAGGGATAGGGCGACCAAGGGCCAGCTGCCAGCCTGGAAGTCCAGAATTTACAGCTTATCTTCCTAGCTGTGCTATGAACCTTCTATCTATAGTGAACAGTCACTCAATCAATAAACACTGGTGATTTGGATGTGTAGTGAGTGCTTTCATCATCATCAGTAAGCCAATATAACTTAGAGTTCAAATTCTGCAGTCAGAGAAACCGTTCAAATCCCAGCTTGGCCTCTAGATACTGGACTTTATAAAGTTTTGTTTTCTTCATGTATAGAAGAGAGTGCTAGGGGCGCCTGGGTGGCTCAGTTGGTTAAGCGTCTGCCTTCGGCTCAGGTCATGATCTCAGGGTCCTGGGATCAAGCCAAGGTCTGGCTCCTTGCTCAGCAGGGAGTCTGCTTCTCCCTCTCCCTCTGCCCCTCCCCCTCCTCACACGCGTGTGCACTCTCTCAAATAAATAAATAAAATCCTAAAAAAAAGAAAAGAAAAAGAAGGGAGTGCTAAGAGAACCATGTCAGATGTGAAGATTGCAGGACAGTGTTTGGCATATAGCAAGCCCCTTGTGAATGTGCCCTGGGGTGCAATGGGAAAGACTCCCGAGTTGAGATCAGAGGCCTGGGTTTAATCTCCATCCACCTCCTATTTACTGCCTTACCTTGGGCCAGTCACTTCACCATGGAGTCTCTATTTCCCAACCAGAGGAAGGGGGATAATGTCAGTTGGTTTTCGATTGCCACAAAAAAATCTTAACATTTGCCATACGAAGGAGGAAGGATGCTCCGCATGTGTCTGGGGAGTGAGTGAAGGATGGGGGAGATTTTAGGATGTGGATTCAGAGAACTTGGATCCCAGGTTTATCACTTACTTTCAGTGCGCTTTGGGACAAATGACTTCACCTCTTTGAACTAAAAGGAAGGAAAATTTCTTCTTCTACCCTCAAGGTCTTGGGGCTAAGGATTAAACTTACATGAGACACATTAACAGGAGGAAAAACCCCAAAGTTTAATTATGTGGGCACGGAGGCCCAATAATGAAATTGAGACCTAAAGAAATGAGCAAGGCAGACAGTTTTTATACTTCTTAGACCAAGAGACAATACATTTGTGAGGAATTGATAAGACAAAGAAAACTTAACTTTGGGAGCTTCCATTAGTAAGGAATTCTCAATGGAATTTGGACCAGGGTAGTAAGTTAGTAGTAAGTAACAAGGGTTGTTTAGACAGTCTTCTCGGCTCTAAATTTCCCATCTCTGGTGATAAAGATGTCCCTTTACCTCCTGGTACAGAGAGGGCACCTTTCACATGGGAGATTTATTTCCTGCTTTCAGGGAGACAGAGAAGCGTCTGAGTGTCCTTCTTGTCCAGGCTGTCTCTTAAGGAACTTTTATTTTGAATAATTAGTATACCAAAGTGGCACGTTTGGGGCAGCCTGCCTTTGGTCCCTACAGAACCTTGGGTTCTCTCAGTATAAAACAAGATAATACCTACTCCCCAGCATTACTGCAGAATAGACAGTAAATATTAAAATGCCTTGTAAACCATAGGGCACTGTGCTCACTCTAGCTTAATATTACTTTGAGCAGAGCCCTGGGTGAAGAACTATGAGGGCTCCAAAGATATGCAAAATCCTTGGCCCCAGCCCTGGAAGAGCTGTGAGAGATCTGGGGAAAGAAGGCACAAGGCAGGGGCAGAACTAGAGATTTGCACCCATTCATTGATTGCACACATATTTACAGAGTACTAGGCATGCTTTTATAGGTCTGTTGGAGGTTTTAGGTTAGGCCTGAAGGGGAGCCCGGAAGGTCAGGGTAAGGCCCCTGGATTGACTGTTGTGTGGGCGGAGGTCTCCGATAACTTATGTACCATCTGTGCTCCTGAGTTCCTGTGTGGGGCAGGCCCCCCAGCTCGCTCAGGCAATTTCCTCAGCCGCCCTCTGAGGAAGCAATGTGCAGAGTCCATTGTAGGGAGAGCATCTGAATCAGCCATTCAGTACGTGGCCCTTCCCCAAAGGTCGGTGGCCTATCTGGCCACTGCAGCTGGTGGCCACAAAAGACCTGCCGAGAATCCAATCTAATGGAGCGGCAAAGGCCCCAGCCGCTCTTCCTGGGAGCTCGAGGGTGAGTTGCAAGGTGATTTCACTGCGGTCGCTTTCTCCCTTTAGACACAGGCTGTCCTCAAGGGCAGGAGAGTGTTGTGACATCATCCCCAGGTTCAGCCAGCAAACCCTTCTCCAGACAGCTGATCCCGCTTGCTCCTTGGAGACCAAAGCCAAGGTCCTAGTGGATGATTTTGGTGGCCCTGGGCCCCGTCCAGCCCCCTGGCTCCAGTCCTGGGCTCTGTCTGTGAACAGAAATCCCCCTAACTTGGCTTTGTACCTGGGTGAAGAGAAGTGCACTCAGCAGTGTTCTGTGGCTGGGCCCATGCCCACCTCCACCTCCCCAGGGCTAAGCATCACAGACTTGCAGGGGCCTGCAGCCTCCCCGGGCCCGGAGCACACAGACTGGGCTGGACACACTGAGGATGGCACCCAGCCTGGAGGCTGAGCTGAGGGGGAAGACATTCTGCCGTCCCTGGGAAGAGGGAGGGAGGAAGGAGGAAGGGGGTTTGCGGGGAGAATGGAGGAGTTTGTGCACAGGGGTGTGTGTGTGTGCACGCGTGTGTGCGCGCGTGTGTGTGCGTGTGTGTGCGTGTGCGTGTGTGCGTACGTACGCACATGCACTGCAGCTAGAAGCACTAGCAGGGATGGGGACTCCACGGTCTCTACTGATTAGAAGGTTTGGAAATTGATACATTACTTTGTATTGGGGCAAAATGATTTGTCCAGATTTCAAATGTCTCAGAGAAGGGAAGCTTCTCTTGGGCCAACTATTGATTGCATTTAATAGAGCTGGGACTTTCTCACTTAAAAACAACGAAATCAACATCTAAGAGAAGGCACTAACTCACCACTCTCTCTTCTTTCCCTCTCTCTCCTCTCTGAGAACAGAAAGGAACCCAGGGACCCAAACAAAGCTGGGGCGAGGGTGGGCCAGTGGGGGCAATGCTGATATCAGAGCCATGGAGTGAGTTCCTCTGGGGCAGATTGAAGGTGGGAGCTCAGGAGAACAGGGGACCCTGGGTTGGTCCCATTCTTCACAGATCGATTTTTGCCAACAGCGACTGTCAGAGTCTTTGATAAATCACTAACACAAGTGATGAATGCCCTGAGGCCGGGTGGGGTGGGGGAAAGGATGCTAGTCTGGGAGGCAGTTCCAGAGAAGGATAGGGGTGAGGATGGAGGGCTGGTGGGCAGAGGGAGCCAACTGAGTTAAAGCTGAATTGTAGAAATTCTGTAAGATACCCCCAGATCGCTAATCCTGACTTCGTCTTTCAGTAGGATTTGACCACAATCATTAACTCAACGGCGCTTCAGAATTCATTTTCATTCTGTCTCTCGTCTGTCTCTTGCTGTCTGTCTCACTGTCTACCTCTTTATCTGGCTTCCAAATGGACTCTGATGGTTTCCTCCCAAGAGAGGGTTCCCTTGGGCCTGCTGGAAAATGAAAAGGAGTGGTGGGGAGTAGCAAGTAGGGGGTTGGCAGTGGGCAGTGGGGGGGAATGGGGTTAGGCCTCTTGAAATGGGTAGAAGTGAGGGTCCTGGGGGCCAGCAGAGAGAGGGCGGGGCTGGGGGAATGGAAATATGAATTTGTGGAGTAGCCCAGGCCAGAGAGAAGTCAGTGTCCAGGGTGTCTTTTTTCTCATGGAGGGAAAGATCAGTCATGTGGTTTTCTCATCCCTCTCCCCAATGCAGTGAGAACAGAAAACTGACTTGATTGGGCTAAGGAATAGCAAGAAGTGTGGAGAGGGAGAGAGACCAACCCAGAGCCATAGACCTGATCTCTCATCACGGCCAGAGTCTGCCTTATTATATTCAGCCCAGCTCACAGACCAGGAATCTGAATTAGTTCTGGGGTGACCTTGGATATGTGACTTAGTTTCACTCACCTTCTGGTTTCTTGTCTATAAAATGGGATAATAGAACAGATTTCTCATGAGGTTTATATTAATTAAGATCACATATATGAGGTTCTTAGAACAGGACCTGGCCAATAGCAAGCATTCAGTAAATGTTAGCTGGGAACCTTATTATTCTCCCCAGTAGCAGCATGGCAGAGTCTGAAGTCATGAAAAACTCAGAATGTGTCAGCCACATTGGAGTCAAAAGAGGGGACTCCTGGCTCTGTCTGAGGGTGAAGAATTCTACCCAAATTACTGATCTACAAGGCCAAGCCTGTTCTGCACTCTGTCCCTATGGTCCGTGTTGATATGCCATGGGCTGAGTCCCTGCTGCTCTGTAAAGGAATCTGAAACTTAGTCTTTGAGATGCCTGCCAGGCTCCTGCCTGGCCCACGGGCTTCTGCCCACACTGGTTGGTCTTGGCTCCTTACCCCACCATCCAGGCAGCCGCTCCCACACTCCCAGCCCTGGCTCTGTCCGTGGTGCTAACCCACATCGCAGCCCAAGACTTGCCCACAGTGCAGAACTTCCCACCTCAACCATCCGCTCTTGTCCCCCAAGTTCAACATCTCTGATGATCTCCCCAGTCACCAGGAATGAATTCTGAGCTCACGTTCTGGAACGCTGCCAGGAAGAAGGAAACAGCGTTAGTATAAAGAATCACACCAAAGGCCGCAGGTAATTATGTCTCTTTTAAGCTGCTAACAGGATTGGCCGTTTGATAAATGGGAGGATTTGAGGCTGTTTTGTCACTGACAAGCTGTTGTAAGATCATATTGGAAGCTGAAGACAGTTTATCTTCATGTGTGTGGTGGAGAGAGGGGAATTCTCCGTGGATTTTACACCCTCTTCAAATTAATGTGATTTCCTAGGCCGTCCTGTGCATGGGAGTGAGTGATCTTTATGACTCACCCCCTGATTAGATTACCTGGCTCAGCAGCCACCTCCAGCCCCTCTGAGTGCCCTCTCCCTCCCTAAACCCCTCCCTGCTCCCCATCACTCCAGCTCTCCCTCCACCTCTAGCTCCCCTTCGACCTCCTCTAGCCCTGGTCTCAGGGCCAGCTGCTGAGCAAGCCCACAGCTCAATTACTGCTGGCTAGCCCAAGAGGCAGAGAGATCTGGTTTCTTCCATTTCCCTGGAGGGAGCAGAAGAGCAGGAGGTGGGATTCAATGAAGAGGGAGGCAATGGGAGAGAGAGGGAGGGAAGCAGAGGAGGAGAGAATGAAGGAGACAAAGAGGGAGTCTAACCAGAGAAACAGTGCCAAGCCGAGGTAAAGAAAAGAAAGACTAGAGAAAAAAAACAGTAGCGACGGGAGAGGAAAGGTTTTTTCTTTCATTTTCAGAGTGCTGTTCTCCACAAGAACCAAGGTGGCCTCCTTCCCTGAACCCCTGAGTTAAGCAGGTCCCCCACCACTTTCTTTGATAGCTCTGTTTTATCATCTTCAGAGCTCTTACCTCTATTCTCTTGTTTATTTATTTATTTGCTCTTAAAATATTTGTCCTCACTCCTAAATTAGAAGACCCACAGGGCAGGAGTCATGGCTACTATGTTCTTCCTAGGACCCCGGCACCTAGCACCTAGTAGGTCCTTGCTAAATATTTATTGACCGCATGAGGTGGAAGGTCTGAAGGGGGCAGGGCTGGCTTGCCCTCCTGGCAGGGGTCCAGGATGGGATTGCCAAGGATATCATCACTGACTGGCTTCGGGGAGACATTTCTGGGGAAGGAATGCTTCATTAGTTCTTTGGACAGAATTAGGTATCCTCCAGAACAAAGCTTTTCCAAATGTGGTCTGTGATTCACTGCATCAGAGTCCCCTGGCAACCTGTATCTTCACAAGTACTCCACGTGATCTGATGCAGTGGGTCTGAAGTTCACACTTTCAGAAACACTATTCTGGGGAATGGGTGAACAGGATGCTCCTGCTCCAGGGGGGGTCTCAGCAGAACCAGGGGCTTAGGCTGCTCTGTGTGTGTGTGTGTGTGTATGTGTGTATGTATAAGGGTTGTTATTGGAATACCTGCAGGGGAATGAGGAAGCTAAAATCCATTATTTCCAGCCAGTTGCCACCTCATTCTACACACACACTGGGAGCTACTTGTGCAAGAGCCCCCAACTTCAAAAGAAAATCTCCCCTTCCTTTGGGGAGCCTGCTGGGGACAGTTCCCCCACCTGACCCAGGAGCCTGGAGGAAGAGGAAGGCAGCAACAGATGTGAGGAGGAGAAGGGCCCCTCTCTGTCCCATACTTAAAGGCCTCTGCTCTCTAACACGTTGATGTTTCTGCAGCTGGTAAGTCATGCCTCATTTCCTAAGCAAGCTGAGCAGACCACCCTCAAGCGCCAAGCCAGGCTCCCTGCCTCTTCAGGGGACCTCCCCCAGACTTGTCAGCAATGTATACTCCAGGATGGATTGACTGCTACCCCAGCATGTGCTCCCCCACACCCCACCTCAGATGTCACAGTCCCATCATACCAGACACAGGCATGGCCCACACAGCTCTCTTCTTTGCTGGACCTTTCCAGGTCCCCTGGCTTTCTGCTACCACAGCTCAACATCCTCTACTGCTTGCAACAGTCAGCTCTCTTGTCATTATATATTCAGTGTTTATCTTCCCTACTAGAGTGGAGCTCCTGTGTCTTGTCCACTACCATATCCCTGCCACCACCACTCACAATGCCTGGCATGTGGTGGGCACTCAGCTGGGAAGACTGAGACTTAGGACGATTTGTTCAACAAATGGTTCTTGAGCATCAGTTGTGTGTCAAGCACAGTGTTAGACCCTGAAGATTCAGTGGCAGGCAAAAAGGCACCCTCTCTCCTCTCACAGAGGCTACAATCTGGTGGAGAGATGGATAGTTGTCAAATAATCCTACAGATTACTCTATACAACTGTGACAGGTGCTTTGTAGAGGTTCATGTTGCCAACAAGGGTACATAAGACGGGGATTTGGTTTTGTTAAGTAGGCCAGGGAAATTTCCTGAGAAGGTGTAATCTCTGAGATGGAGAAGGTTGTGTAGAGCAACAGTAGAGAAAAGTGTTCTGGAGAGACAAAAAAAGCATGTGCGAAGGCCCTGTGGCAGGCAGGAGCATGTCTTCTAGAAGGAACTAAAAAACCAGAAGGTCTGGAGTTGTGGGGTGAATGGGGAGGCTGGAAGGCAGGCAGAAGCCAGACCACGCAGGGCCTTGTCAGGTGCAGTAAAGGGTTTATTTCTTCATCTAAGAGCAAACAGTTTAAACACTGAAGAGTTCAAACAGCAGGGGGGCAGGCACAGGCAACAGATATAATCAGCACTGCATTTTGAAAAGGTCACTCAGGCTTCAGTATGAAGAAGGAAGGGAGGGGCTTGGGTGAGGCAAAGGGATCAGTAAGTAGCCCACTGCAGCCACCTGGGCTCAGACCACGAAGGTGCTGGTGGAGATCAAGAGTAGTAAATGGTTTTTGAAAGAAAGTTTTCAAGCAACACCACAGGCTGGTGGCAAAACCAGGACTAGTACCCATCCCCAGGCTTTGCACTTTCCTGTAGCTATTGGCCTCCTTCTGGAATGTCCAGTGGGCCACAATAAGGAGGCGTTGGCTCCCAGGCCTCCCCCAGAAGTATGCCTTGTTTCTGGCCCCCCAGTTTCCCATATTCTGTACTGTCTTTCTCTGGGATTGCCCATATATGTCCTCTTCCAAGCTGGAAGCCTCTGACTAAATACCCACCTAAGAGGTGGGTTTCTCGCCTAGCCCCAGGTGCTTTGCATTCTGGGAATTGTAGTTCTAGAGCAGGAATGCTGGATCTGCTCCCGGCTGTGGGTCTGGCAGGCAGCCTGGTTGCCATGGCAGCAGCTGGGCTGGAGCCACCGAACCATTTCATCCACAGCTCTGCTGGCTCAGAGATCCTCCCAGCAAGAAAGCTTGGGCTCTGGGGAGGAGGAGGGAGGAAAGGGAGAGAAGGCAAAGGAGGGAGGGGAGGACCTCATGGGCCTTCCCCAGAGGCCTGGGCTAAGCCTCACCCTGCACTGGGGCTTCTGGACTGAACTGCAGAGAAGTCACCAGCTATCCTCAGAGCAGGACTCCCCAGCCACTGGGAGCCAGCTCTGCTGCTCAGTTCTTGTCAGTCAATCAGACCCTATAATTCAGCTCTGTGAATGCGTAAGTCCGCACCAGAACAGAGGAAGGAGGGAGCAGCTCCCTCCCCTGGGGAACATGGAGCCTGGGTAGAAAGGAAAAAAGGCCCACAATAATTACTTAGGAAGGAAAAAGTCCTGCTCATTTTTCCTCCAAAATAACTCCAGAATCCATTCCCTTCTCTCTGTCCTTCGGCCATAGTCCTGGTTCATTCTATCTCCCCAAGAGAAGGCTTTCTAAAACACAAATCTAGTCCTGTCACACCCCTGCTTAAAATTCTTCAATGGCTCCCCTTTGCGCATGACTGGCTCAAGTCCAAGCTCTCTAGTAGGACCATTCATGGTCTTGCAAATGCTGGCCCAAGTCTCACTGTCCAGTTTCTTCTCCTGCTTCCCCTCTGCCCCAGTCATACAGAAGTTTTCTGGTTCTTACTCTCATACCCCCTGCTTTTGCACATACTCCTTTGCCTAAAATACCCTTCCCTCCCTCTTCCAACCTCTGAAAAGACCCAATCCAACTGAAACACCTCCTCTTCCGTGACATGTTCCAAAATCTTTCCCCACCAGGGAAGAATGAATGGCCTGGTGCTCTGAGCTTCCAGAGCACTTTGTACATCCCTCTCCAGCTCTTATCACCTGTGTTGTGATTATTGTCCTTGTAGCTGCTTCTCCCTCCCCCTCTCCTGCATCTGAGCCATCCCAGGGGTCACAGTGCCCAGCAGAGTGTCTGGCACAAGGGAGGCGCTTGGGAAATGGTGGATGGGAATGAATTCACTGAAGAAAGGCTGTCAGGGCCTCTGCCGCTCTTCTGCTGTCCCCCTCCCTGGGTTCTGTCTTTCCTGGGCCCCTTCCCCCATCTGCTCCTCCCATGGGCCTGCACACCTCAGACACAGTAGCAGACTGGCAGACCCCTTGGAGCCGGGCCTTCTCTTCTGGACAAGGGTGGCATGGGCTCCAGCGCATGGAGGCTGGAAGCCTCCCCATGTCCCTGGGAATGTGTATCAAGTCACACTTAGGTCTCTAGAGAGGAGGTACCCGTGTCTTAAATGGAGCCGTGATTTATGGACTCAGCTCCAGGAGCTGAAAAAACCAATTAGGCTTCCCTGCTTCTCTACCTGGAGGCAAAAGAATTCCAGGAAAGTCCTTCCTCCTGGGCAGAGGGTCCCTCTGCCTGGGCCTCAGCCCTGAGGCTTCTCCATTGGGCCCCTCACCCCAGCCTTGTCACCTTACTCCTTGGTCAGTAAGTTTCCTGGGCCGGCTTTCCCTGCACTGAAATCCCGACCCGACCACTTAACATCTGGGAAGCCTTTTCCAGGTTTCCATCCTCTTTCTTATTTCCCCACCATAATAAGAGGATAAAAATAACCTGCCTCGATCATTCATTCATTTATGTGTCCGTCCATCCATCTGTCCCTCTGTCTCTCCATCCATTTACATATTCCCTTGCATGAAGATTTATTCGGTGTCTACTGTGGGCCCAGGTACTGAGTTAATCACTAAAGATGTAGAAGT